AACATGCTACGGTTAGCTAACACGAATGTTAGCAGTTGGCTAACACACGTATGTTAGCAGCTAGCTCAGGCGCTACTGTTAGCTAACACGCTTCTGTTAGCGGGTAGCTAACCTCAGCTAACTGAGGAGGTCTGATAAACGTCTCGTCTCTGGACTGCGGCGAGTTTAAATTATTTAGTGTTTTTCAATCAGAGGAAACCGAGTCGATAAACGGACAAATCTTTTCAGGAAATAAAACGTGGACAGATGAAGTTTAGTGTTTTTGGGTCATAAAGAAAAGATCGGATCCGTTTCAGGTGTTCTGGTTCTGTTCTGTCAGAACACAAGTGTGTTGATGGACGGGACCAGACTACGTCTTGGAGGAAATGCATGAAAAAGGTAAGAGTCTGAAGACAGTGTTTTCAAAATAAAAGACATGAGTACATGTCCATGTTGAGGGGATTTTCAAAATAAAAGACGAGAACGTTTCCATGTTGGGGGCGTTTCAAAATAAAAGACATGAGAACATGTCCAGGGGACACCTAGTTTTACTTCATTAGAATGAGTCTAAAGAGAGAAAAGAGGAGTTCCCTTCAGTGGACATGTTTCAGGCTCAGACGGGTCCGTGACCCGGTGGGTCTGAGCCCTTCAGAACCACCATGAGTTCCTGTAAACCCATATTCAGTCCAGGCAGACAATCAGAGCCGGGGTCAGAGGTCACATGGCTGCTGTTTGGATAGTTCTGATTCAGTTCCAATATTCAGACCCATAAATGTCTCTGAACCTGGTCTGGTCTTTGTGGACATCAGGTTTAACCAGAACACTACGTTTTTGGGCCACATCAACTGAAACCATGTCAAAACTGAAGACCTGGGTTCTGGATCCAGACCTGGGCTTCAGAACAGACCTGAACTGAACTCCTGCCTCTAAACGAGACCCCGCTGATCCAAACTGGACCTGGTCTCTCTGGTTTCTTCTCAGCTTCATCGTGGACCTTCAGTCTGAGACTCCGGTTCTGTGACGTGTCTGTTAAAATGTTCAGAACCAGATCAGGACAGACCAGCATCCATGACCTAAACCCAGACCACTGTGCAGCCTTTCTTAGAGATCCACTGAGTGGACATAAAAACCCCTGTGGACACGAGACGGTGTCCTTGTCACGGGGGACAAAAAAAACCCTGTGGACAGGAGACAGTGTCCTTGTCATGGGGGACATGAAAACCCCTGAAGAAAAAGAAGATCAATTCCCTTTGAGCCTCCTGAACTTTAGGACCGTCTAAACCTTAGAACGATGACATCATTCCGTTTTAATTCAGACAGGGACCGGTTCAGAAAGACCATGGTTCTGGAGTGGACTGTCTCCGGTCCCTGAGACAAAAGATTCTGTACACGTCGTCACTTTTTACACCCAAAACTGAACAAGAAATAAAAAATGTTTCTACTTGAACCACAGGTCCAGCAACGCACATTAGTAAATATTTACAGAGGTCAGAGGTCACCAGGTGAGACAGGCCTGAGGTCATTGTGGGCGGGGATGTGGGCATTCAGGTAAAGTGGGGAACAGGAAGTGGACTATGATTGGTTGGACCCAAACTGGCAGTGTAGTGTTCCATCTGAGGTATGAAGTCTGTTTTCACTGAACTACATTTCCCATCATGCTTTGGGACATTTTCTGTTGATCTCCCAATGTAAGCAGCGTCACCGCCGAACAGTTATCCGTGCTTATTCGGATTATGTCAGGAGATGTGGGCGGGGCTTATCTTAACAGAATCCCAAACCGGGCTTTGTTTGTTTGTTTGCAGCGGGCGAAGTGTCCTGCTCATATGAGCGCGGCGCTCCCGATGCTGCTGCAGCTGTTGTTGCGGTTGGTGTTGCGGCGCGACAGGTTGGGCGTGGCCACGAGAGGGTAGCGGTCGTCGGGGCAGCCATACTGAGACAGGACGTCCACACACTCCTGACTACTGGCCTGACGAGCGTACGCCACGGCGCTGTTCCCACGAGCGTCCCTCGCTGTCACGTCCACGCCGTACTGCAGAGACAGAAACAAGTTGACTCTGACTGTGGACAGACTGGTTAGACCTTACCCAGACTGACAGACCCACCCACAAGAGGACACCTTACCCAGACTGACAGACCCACCCACAAGAGGACACCTTACCCAGACTGACAGACCCACCCACAAGAGGACACCTTACCCAGATTGACAGACTCCCCAGGAGGACACCTTACCCAGATTGACAGACCCCCCCAGAATGACACCTTACCCAGATTGACAGACTCCTACAGGAGGACACCTTACCCAGACTGACAGACTCCTACAGGAGGACACCTTAC